AAGGAAAAAATGATCCAGATGTGTATTTGGGGTGGGAAAAGAAGGTGGAATATGCCGTTGATGGAGAACTACTTGTCACTAGGCGAGCTTTGAATGTGCAAGCCAAAGAAGATGATGAAGTACATGGCCATGGCAAGAATAAAGGTTCGTTTAAGACATATGCTCATCTTGTGAATCAAAGAAAGATTTATCAAGATTTGAGCATAATGACACATAGCACGCATCATGCTTGATAAGGATAGTAGTCATGAATGGATTAAATTACACAAGTGTATCGATCATAAGAAGGTTCATCAAGGCCATTGACTCTTTCTGTCACTTTGGGTGGCCATGATTTGTTACTAGAAACCACTCTTGGTCTGTGAGTGTTTCTTATTGCCATTGTGATGGAAATCTAGGGGGTTACACATTTAGTGGATTGTGGGGATTGAAATTTTTATAAATCCAAGTTTATGGATATGGATTGATTTATGTGAAAATACCATTTTCACAAGAAAAACAAATTAATCAAGTTTTGTATTAAATTGGTAAAAAGAATTAATTTTTTTAATTTAATTAATTTAAGTTTGGAAGATGTTTTCTAAATGCATTTCACAACCTATTAATCCCTAATGATTTTGGGTTAAGTTTGAGTTACAAAGTTTATATGGCATAACATTGATTACTAATGTAATGAAGATACTTAGAATATATAGTTATGCTAAATGGTTATTGTCATCGATTGAGATATTTGTTTTATAAATTGGCAAATTCTTGATTTTTAACATGATTATATTCCATAGCTTTGAGATAACTATTTTGTGAAAAAGGGACATAGCATCTTAAAATTGAAATAGAATTTGAAATGTGAATATTGTTGTGGTATGCTTTGTAATACATTATGGCTTCGTTTGACAACACTTCCCAATGCTTTAATTACCTTCTAATTTTTATGTGTTTTTACTATCTTAAAAATATATAAAATTTTAATTAAAATAAATATTAAATATATAAAATATATTTGATATATTTTCGAGATGTCAAACAACTAAAAATCCTATAGTTTCAATAGCTATAAGCCAACATTATCAAACTAAGCCTATGTCATGGAGACTTAGTGTTGATTTCAAGAAAATGGCTTATTTGAAATATAATGGATTTTTTTAGATATTTTATCATAAAGTGCCCTTTTACAGTAGGATGACATATTCTCAATGGATGATGTGCCCTATCCAAGAGAGATAGGATGATGGGGGTGTACTGGCTAACTCACCCTAGTTATTCCTTGACCATGATTATATATATATAGTTATATGCTTTACTATTTATTTGATGGAAATAGTTTAGGTTATATATGCTTAGTGATCTTATAAACTTGAGCTAGAAATAATGAGTTATGACTTGATTGATTGAGATGATATGTATGGGTATACATAAGTGTAATTATTTTATAGTTTACTTATGTATATACCTTATTTGTAAAAATGTTTTATAATGCACTATATTTATTAAATTTATAACTCACCAAAAGTTATTGCTTTGATATTTTTGCTCCCTAATACGCAATTCTTTGTCCTTGGGGTTTATCTTCACGGCAAAGTCATTGCTTCATTTCTCTTAATTGATCTTCAAGGCTTGGTGGGTTCTACTTTGGTAGTGGCAAATCTTTGTATTACAAAAACTTTTGATCTTGATATGTAATAAGTACTTTATTGACTTATCATTATTTAGTACTTAATGTAAAAACTAGATTTTAAATTTTAAATTTTGAAGATTTCCAAACTCTACATATGTTATAATTAAATGGAAACAAATTGCAGGTTTTAATGGTTTTTGCCCGAAACCTTATTTGTACATGTATGTAGGCCCCCTCAAGGTATATATGTAAATATTATATAGATATGACAAAGAGGTGTCATAACACGAATATATATAAGTGTGATTATTTTATATTTAACTTATGTGCATACTTCGGTTGTAAAATATGTTATAATATATTATACATACTAAATTTATAATTGATCAAAAGGTTTTGTTTTGGTATTTTTCCTCCCTAAATACTTAGAACTTTGTCCTTGGAGTTGAAGTTTATCCTTGTGGTGGAGTTATCACTTCATTTCTCCTAAGGCTTTGTGGGTAACTAGAGCCTTTGATTTTAATATGTAATAAATACTTTAATACTTTAATGACTTATTGTTATTTAGCATTTTATGTAAAAACTATATTTTGAATTTTAAATTATGAAGATCTTTAAACTTTGCAAATGTTATAATTAAATAGAAACAAGTTGCAGATCTTAATGGTTTTTACATGAAATTATACATGTTTGTAGGCCACTCAAGGCATATATGTAAATATCATATCGATATGAAAAAGAGGTGCCATAGTACGGGTATACTTAAGTGTAATTATTCTATATTTTACTCATGCGTATACCTCAATTGTAAAATGTCATAATGCATTATACTTACTGAATTTATAACTTATCAAAAGTTGCTGTTTTGGTATTTTGTTTATCACTGAATAAAAGTTTTTGTTTTGGTATTTTTCCACCCTAGACACTTAGTACTTTGTCCTTGGAGTTGGAGTTTATCTTTGTGGTGGAGTTATTGCTTCATTTCTCTTAAGGCTAGGTGGGTAACTAGAATCTTTGATCTTAATATGTAATAAATACTTTAAGACTATAATGACTTATCATTATTTAATATTTCATGTATAAATTATATTTTGAACTTTAAATTATAGAGATCTCCAAACTTTGCATATGTTATAATTAAATGGAAACAAGTTTCAAGCTTTAATGGTTTTTACATGAAACCTTTTTTTTACATGTATATAAGCCCTTCAAGGGCATCTATGTAAATATCATATAGATATGAAAAAGAGGTGTCACATTACTGGTATATATATAAGTGTAATTATTCTATATTTTACTTATATGTATACCTTAGTTGTAAAATGTTTTCTAATGCATTATTATTACTAGGTTTATAACTAATTAAAAGTTTTTGTTTTGTTATTTTTATTCCCTAGACACCTAATACTTCATCCTTGGAGTTGGAGTTTATTTTTGTGGTGGAGTTGCCGCTTCATTTATCTTAAGGCTTGGTGGGTAACCATAACCTTTGATCTTGATTAATTGAAATATTTTAATGATTTATCATTATTTAGTACTTCATATACAAACCATATTTTAGATTTTAAATTATGGAGATCTTCAAACTTTGTATATGTTATAATTAAATGGAAACAAGTTTCATGTTTTAATGGTTTTTACATGAAACCCTTTTCACATGTATGTAAGCCCTTCAAGGCATTTTTGTAAATATCATATAGATATGACAAAGAGGTGTCACAATACGAGTTAATATAAATATAATTTTTCTGTATTTTACTTATGTGTATACTTTAGTAGTAAAATGTTTTATGTTGTATTATAATTGCTAAGTTTATAACTAATAAAAAAATTTTGTTTTGGTATTTTTCCTCCTTAGACACTTCGTGGTTGGAATCTAGTTTATCTTTGTGGTGGAGTTGTCACTTCATTTCTCTTAAAACTTGGTGGTTATCCAAAACTTTTAACCTTGAGATGTAATAAATACTTTAATACTTTAATGACTGATTGTTATTTGGTATTTTATGTATAAACTATATTTTAGATTTTAAATTATACGGACTTCCACACTTTGCACATGTTATAATTAAATAAAACCAAGTTGTAGGTTTTAATGGTTATTGTATGAAACCCTCTTTGTACATGTATATTATAGGCCCAAGGTTATATATGCAAATATCATAGAGATATGAAAAAAATGGTGTCACAGTAGTAAAAACATTGGGCATTAATTACAATTATTTATTATTTAAAAAGATGAAATCAACTTACAAGCCAATATTTTCAAACACTATAGTTAACTTTTTTAATATATATATATATATATAAACTAATAAAATTAATAAAAACAAATGCCCCTATTATTCTATTTGTATGATTGTAACAAAAAGTCATGTGGCAATAACCAAACTTGCTATTGAAGTTAATGGAAGATAGTTAACTATCTTAGAGTTAGCAAAGTTTAGTCTCTTCGTTAATTTAAGCTCCAGTTTAGAATGTTTTTGATTTTTAGTCTTTAATTTTTATTCTTATAAATTTTGTAACTATTGTAACTAAAAACCACATTTACACAAAGAGTAACCTTAAATTTTCCGTCATTATAATGATTTGGTCATTTTAAATGAGTGAGAATATTAATACAACGTCAGCAGTATCATTGTTGTACCTTTTACCTCTCCTTGAAATAAATTAAGGTTAAACTCCATTTTTGGTCCCTCAACTATCGTACGGACCCCTGATTGAGTCCCTCAACTCAAAAAATCCTTGACTTGGTCCCTCCGTTAAAAATCGCATGACGTGTCACATTAATTCACAGTAACACTATGACGTGTCAAAACACGTGGAAGACACCATGGCAAACAATAGTGATACGGAAAAAAATAATAATATGGTAAAAAATATTATTATGACAAAAAAAAAAACTTAAAAAACTATTTTCTTTTTTTTTTTTTTCCCTTTCTCCTTCCCATTGTCTTTCCATTGGGGTCATGGGTTCCTGGGTTCCTTGGAACCCAGGTGTTGGGGTTCCTTTGAACCCGGCGCTGGGTTCGAAGGAGCCCAACGCCTGGGTTCCTTTGAACCAGGCGCCGGATTCGAAGGAACCCAGGTGTCGGGTTCGAAGGAACCCAGGCGTCGGGTTCGAAGGAACCCAGGCCTGGGTTCTTTTGAACCCAACGCTGGGTTCCTTAGAACCCATCCCTGGGTTCTATGAACCCGGTGCTGGGTTCCTCGGAACCCGGTGCTGGGTTCGTAAGAACCCGGCGCTAGGTTCCTTGGAACCCAGGGGCAAAAACTAAAAAAAAATTTTGTTTTTTGTTTTTTGGTCTGGGTTTTGTGTTTGATGATGAGAAGAATTGATTGCGAAGAAGGTAAGGCAAGGAAGAAGAAGGAGAAAGGGTGCCTGTTGGGTTCGAACCCAGCACCTGGGTTTCTTTGAAGAATTGATGTTTGATGAAGAATTGATGTTGGATGAGGAAGGAAAAGGTGATGTTTGATGAAATATATATATATATATATGTGTGTGTTTTTGTGGATTTTGTTGTTTGATGAAAAATTGATCGATGAAGATGAAGATGAAGATGAAGATGAAGAATAGATCGACGAAGAGGGCAAGGAAAGGAACAGGAAGGTGAAAGAGAAAGTGGAGGAAAAAAGAAAAATTTTTAAATTTTTATTGCCAAATCATTTTTTTTGCCATGCTGGATTTCCACATAGGTTTAATATTTTAACAGATCATTATACTTCCGTTAGTTAACAGTACACGTCATGCGATTTTTAACGGAGGGACCAAGTCGGGTTAAAATGGTAAATAGTAGGGACCAAGTCAGGGATTTTTTGAGTTGAGGGACTCAATCGGGGGTCCGTACGATAGTTGAGGGACTAAAAAGGGGGTTTAACCATAAATTAAGTATCTACTAAGGTGTGATTTACTCTTAGATAAGGAAGTTGACTCATACTGATTAATTTAATTAATTTTTAATTTGATAATTAAAACAAGTTATAAATATAATAGAACCTGAGCTTGTGGGTCAAGTGACTTTGATAACTTTTGTAAGATTCATATTCTTTTTTTCAAAAGTAATGGTTCGAACCGACTTCATGACAAAATATTAAAAAAAAAAAGTTATGAATATAATAATTTTATTTTTCATTCAAATAGCGAAGTAAACAAACATCAATATCCATCAAACAAACATCGAAAAGAAAAAGGATCTCCATTCACAGCCATCAATCATTTTGCCTTAACAACTGCTGTGATGGAAGATGAATCCCCCGTGATGCACTCGTATCTTTGAAACATAGAAGCAACAACCAAACAACCTGTCAGAGTTACATAATCCTTACCCGCACATTGTTTATTTGACTCAGTCGGTGTCTCGGTCTGGGGCCCGTTAGACCAGTACAAGTAATCCAGCAACTTCCTCCCTTCCTCACCCGTGAACCGATCCGGTTTAAAACTCTCAGGTTCATCAAAAACTTGACCGTCTCTCATGGCAAGGGTTTGATACCCACAAAGTAACTCCCCTTTCTTGATCTCATAAGCCGAGTCGTGCGAACTCAGTCGGAAATCCTTCCTGGCTCGAGCGTACTGGAGCGGAACTGGTGGGTTCACCCGCAGTGTTTCGTACACCACTGACTTCACCAACTCCAAGTTTTTAACGGACTCAAAATCCAATCCTGGTCCACATTTCTCTTTCACTTCCTTCCTCAACCTGGACTGCAACCCCGTTTTGTCGGCAGCGATGACTCCAATCAACGTAGGTAAAAACACTGAGAAACCACCGAAGGCATTGAACCCCAGGACAAAGAGCAAGTTATGGATAGTATCTGACGCGGTGAGCCCAAACTCCTTTTCCCCTCGCTCTAAAACCTCTCGTCCATTCTGTTCAATGAATTTGTAGAGTTTGTTGTAGTCTCCGCTTACGAGTGCAAAAGGGTAAGGAAAAGAGTGGAGGAATATCTCCTCGAGGGGCTGGAGTACGCCGATTTTCACAGTGGGGAGTAGCTGGAGTGCGAGCCAGCGGTCGAGCATGGCGTAACCGGACTGGGCAATGTCGGGCTCGAGAGCAGGGTCAGCTCCAATGAGGGATTTGGTGAGGAAGTTGAAGACGCATTGTTGTAGAGAGACGATGTAGGAGGCGGAGCCGGTGTCCGATACCTTGGTATCGATGGTGTCGAAGAAGTTGGACAGGTTCGAGAGAAGCTCGGAGACCCAAACCTTGGAGCTGCGTTTTAAGACGTCCAACGCTAAGTTCTTGATCTGCCCAGAGAAATTTTTTTTTAAAAAAAGGTTAAATTATACACTTTTAGAGAATCATTCTTGACGGCCATTCTTATGCGTCATATATTTCAGTCTAAATTACACAATTAAAAATATATTTTTGCTATTAAAATTAATAAATTAATATTAATGAATAAACATAAAAAAATTTTATTAAAAAATTTTTATAATTTTAATGTTAAAATTACATTTTTAATATGTAGTTTACTCAAAACACTTTTTTGCATTCTTATTAACCTTGATTTTTTTATTGTACCATGTGTTCATAAGCCAAATAAAATAAAATCGTGTTAGCATTTACCAGTCATACATATGAAAAAATGAGTTAGCATACAATTACAATAACTTACATAGTTTAGGTTAAGATTGTCACAATTTTTTAAATATAAAATAAAATAAAAATAAATAAATTTTAATTATTCATATTAAATTGATTAATGACTAAGATTTTATATAAATCATATATTAAAAAATTCTATGTAAGTGAATCTAACTCAAAAAAAATAATGAACAAACATCCAAAATTAAGTTATTTTAATAAACTATATAATTCTCATCCCATAATTGTATATTTTAAATACTACATAATTTTGGAAAGATATTCATTTAAATAATGTGATTTTAAGAAATTGGTTCGCTTAGTCTCTTTTCCAAGTCCACTTGAGAAACGCTTTCTACAAATAAAATATATAGAAAAAGAAAACAAGAAGAAAAAAGATGTGTAATTAATTTCTCAATTGTACCCAATTTCTAAAGGTTTGATTGGGTCGATCCTAATCCTTTCTTTTCTTCTCAAATCCATGGTTAAGAACGGTAGTAAAATTAATGAAAGAAACATTTTTTTTTTGTTTGATTTTTGAAAAATAACTACATTTGATTAGAATATATAATATTTATTATTTACTCGTTTAAAATTAACTTATAAGATGATATTTTCAGACAACCTAACTAACTATTAAAAGAAACAAAATTATTCATGCATAAAAATTAACCAAACTAAATAGACCCATAATAATTAACTTACAATTACTAAAGCCAGTTAAAAACAAGAGTTACCAAAAAGTTATTTAATTTACTTTTCCATCTTGAGTTGTTTTTTATATTCATTATATCCCCAATATCTATAATGTTTTATTCAAAATTTGTATCAAATTATTGTCATTTAAATATTTAAAATGGACATATATATATATATATATTTCTATTATAACCACCATATTGTTTATTTAACTTTAATTATACCTTTTGACCAAAAAATATTTTCTTTATTTGTATATTTTTATTAAGGATAATATAGGTGGAGAGGGAGGGAAAAATCAATCCGAACTGAGCAAAAAAGTCTCAGTTTGAACAGAAATTTAGTCCCTTGACTTTTATTGTTTTCAATTAAGTCCCTTAATTTTCTTTTTGTTACTTACAATTAGAATGTCTTTAAGTCAGTTTTTGCACATATTAAAACTAAATGTTCCCAAGAAAATTATCTAAAACATCCTTCACATCAGCATGATATATTTAAGAAAATTAATTTACTTAAGCATTGACCCCAAGACTTGAACTTTTCATGTGGCCTAGAAAACAACATGCTTAATAATGGATCTAACCATTGGGGTTATTAAGTACCTTACTATAATTATTATATAACATCAAACGAGTAAATGTATAATGATTCATGTCTCTTTCGAGTGAAGATGGTTAATCATAAGTAATATAACTAAAAAAAAATTAAGGATTAAAATTATGCCCAAAACTGACACTTGTTTGGCTAGTTTGAACTAATTTCTCCCTCGGTTGGTAAAAACATAAATAGCCTACACATTCTTAATTTGTAAAAAATGAATAAAAAAATTACTTTAAAGAGGATAGGGTATTGTTTTAAGACTTTATTATTTGCCTTTTTTATATTATACATTTAAATTATGAAATCGTAATACAAAAGTTAATATCTTTGATTCACTTTAATTGTTTTAGTTTTATTTTTGGTGTTTTAAAAAAAAATCAAATATTAATTTCAAATGAAAATTTAATATAATATATAATGACAATTAAATAATCATAAAAAAAACTACATATATAAAAAAGAAAAAAAAATAAATTTTCATTAATATATTTTTTAAAGATTTTGATATGAAATTAACATCTAAAAAATTAAAAAGTTAAATTAAGAGAATTAAAATTGAATAGAGTAAAAATTAATAAAAAAAATTATTGTATAGTTTAAAACTACATGATACTCCATCTGCCCCTAAATAACTATAATTTTTTTATTTTGAATTTGTTTCAAATTAATTATTATTTTTTATTTATTTTTTAAGGTAGAATTTTTCTTTTATTTTAACCTTATCATTATCTATTTATTTTGATTAATTGTTTTATCATAAAAAAAATTTATTTTGTAACATAAATAAATACAATAAATACATAAATACCCTCCAAATTTATAATTAAAAAAAAAAGTTAAAAACCAACCTAGCTATTATGGTTCAAGGTAGAGAGAGTAGAAAGTAGATGTGGTAAATGGGTAGGTTGGGTCGCATTCGAGTTGAGTTTACTTGGTTCATAGGTTTTATGGATTGGGTCATATACGGGCTGCAGCCCAATAAGTGTTGATCCTAACTCGACCCTAACTAATTATAAATTAATTCGCGAGTTGAATTTTTTTGGTTAAATGTCAATTTTGGTCCCTCAAGTTAACGTTTTACACAATTTTCATCTCTTAACTTTTTTACACTTTTTTAGTCCCTTAACCATGAAAAATGCACTTTTTTAATTTTTCATCAGTTATTCCGTTAAGTCTATTAGAATCTGCACATATTTAGTCCCTCAACTTTAAGTGAGGGACTAAAAATGTGCAGATTTAGATAGATTTAACAGATTAATTGACAAAAGGACTAAAAAAATATATTTTTCATAATTAAAGGTTCAAAAAAGTTAAAAAAAAAATTTGAGAGATGAAAATTGTGCAAAACCTTAAAGTGGAGAGACCAAAATTAACATTTAACATGTTTTTTCTTTTATATAATTAGTCATATTTTTAATACTAATTTATTAAAATTAAATTATAATAACTTTAAATTGAAAAAAAAAATAAGATGAGGATATTTTCAAATCTTAATTATCATATTTGATTCTATTTTATTCAAAAAAATCATTATTAGTTGGAGTACACTAACCTTCCAATATTTACATAAATTCATAATTAATATTAAACAATCTAACATAAATTATTTCTTAAATAAACAAAGGAAAATCATGCCAATTACCCCCTAAACTTGTTGGGAGGTGACAAAGCCCCTAAACTGAAAACAATAACAAATGACCCCTTAAACTTGTCAAGGGTGGCAAATCAGCCCTTTTCCAACGGCTAATGTCATCATTCCATCCAAACTTAACCAAGTTCGTGTTTTTGTACAGTCCACTGTCGAGCTGGACTTGATGTAGCCCTTCTTTTTTTCTTTTTTCTGACTTTTTAATATTTTTTTAAACGTAAAATTAATAAAGTAAATTAAATAAAGGTTTTTTACCTTAATTTTTTAATTTGTGTCCTTAAAGTATAAATTAAGTATATATTTATTACATATTTTTATTATTAATTTATATAAAAACTAGGAAACTAAATTTTATTTCCAACTTCAATGTTATGTAATATAATTTAATTGCATAGTTTATAAAATGAAAATTAATTTTTATTTTTTCTAGGCAAATTAATAGTAAAAAGCAAATTTATACATCCTTAACTTATATTCTTAAAATACAAATTAGAAAATTCCTTTAAAAAATAAGTGGAAAAAAAAGACAAATAAATTTAATAATACTTTTTTTAACCTAAGTGTAATTAATGCACCTTTTAGCAATTAATTTATATGAAAACGTTAGTTTATGTAATTTCAAAGTTTTCAATTTCTCTTTCGTCAAACTTTTCTTTAAATTTTAAATTTTCAATTATTTTCTCAAAATTTTTAAATTGAGATAATTTTCATAAGTGAAAATGGATGTTATTTAGTTGTAAAACCATTCTACAATACATAGGGTTTTCAATTCTTGTTTGCTTGAGAAAGTGATGATTGAGATTTAATTAATCCAATTGGTTTCCATTGCAAGTAATTAAATTTTAATGTATGAAAACAATTATAGTAATTAAAAATCTTAATGAAATATTTAAGAAAATTTTAAAATATTAATGGTTTAACGACGTGAGAGGCCATGTCAAACTTCAATGGGTCACATTACGTCCAAGTAAACTATGGAATCCATTCAAACTAGAGAACTGTTGGTTTTTAACGAAATACTAATATGGCCATTAAACAAGGGCTAATTTGCTACCGTTCATGAGTTTTGAGGGATCATTTGCTACTTATTTCAATTGAGGGTCCTTTTCGCCACCTCTTGACATGTTCAAGGCTAATTTGCATGATTCGTCATAAACAAAACAAAAGTAGCTATCAAAAATTGAGAATTAGTATCACTCACAAAAAGAAAATGTTGCACCTTGAAACCTATCTTTTAATCAAACAAAAGACCGACCTTAATCATCTTGAATATTTTGTTCTTATCCCTCTGATTATTTTTGAAAATATCTATATGACCTCGGCGCTTGGTTCTACGAACCCGACGCTGGGTTCTTTAAACCCAGGGGCAAAAACTAAAAAAAATCTCTGTTTTTTGTTTTTTTGTTTGGGTTTCGTGTTTGATGATGAGAAGGATTGATTGACGGAGAAGGTAAGGCAAGGAAGAAGAAGGAGAAAGGGTGCCTGTTGGGTTCGATTGAACCCAGCACCTGGGTTCCTTTGAAGAATTGATGTTTGATGAGGAAGGAGAAGGTGATGTTTGATGAAAATATATATATTTATGTGTTTTTGTGGATTTTGTTGTTTGATGAAGAATTGATTGATGAAGATGAAGATGAAGATGAAGATGAAGAAAAAGAAATGGTTATTCAACTTTTAAGAGTAGCATGTAAATGCAGCGAAAAAATAAAAAAATAAAAAAATAAAAGACAGAGAGGAAGAAGTAGAAACGGCCCAATGAAGGGATGAAGGAAGGCAAAGCAACGGCGTTAATTTTTGGTGTTTTATGGCCCCCACAATCTAAAACGTGTCAGAATATTATTGGTTCGGGATACGTCCCACGTGGTATACCTGGGATATTGTAGACTTTCTCCTTTTTATGGGCTGGGCTAGGGTCAGTTTTTTTTTGAAGAGGGACAACTTTGGAGAAGGAGAAATGGTATTCATGAGCTTGAAAACGCAATCCACAAGGTGATTTCACTTGGTCAAAGGTTTCGGCCACTGGGTCGAGGCGGGGAATGAGTTTAATGGATCAGGTATAATTTTGTCTCCTCTAGTAGAAACTAAAATAATTAATTTTTCAGAGGAGGGGCGAACTCCCTTGCATTGAGGTGCATCCTACCATCCTATTTTGCAGTCAAAGTTCAGATTGCAAAACAAAATTTTTAAGAAATGAAAACCACAATTAAAAGAGATGCGAACCTGGCCATGCTGGGGCTCCGAAGTATCAAGATAAGCGCAAACCCTAACTCCCCCAGTGAACTTGATGCTAGGCATAAAATCCCCAACAAGAACATCTTTCTTCTCGACGATCTCCATATCAAAGAGATGAGCAAAAGACTTGCAGTCGAGGACGGCGATGACGTTGGGGTTCACTCCCGTGAAAAAAGGAAACGTCGGCGGAACATTCGTACGGAACACGCTGCTCTTGTGCTTCTCCATCCTCTTCCTAAAAAACGTTTCTGGACCTTGGAACCAGAAGTAGTCCAGCCGGTCTGAAATGGGCCCGAGCAACGGCCATCCGTAGGATCCTGGGATTGTACGGAGAGGGAGGGCGGCCGTGGACGGTAGTGATTGAGGCTTGGATAGCGACTGCGATGGTGTTGGTATGCCCGGGGAGGCGCACATGATTTTGTTCATCGCTGTAGTTACCATTGTGATCGATGGAACAAATCTCGAACAACATGAGTATTCTTGCCTCCGCCTCTGCAATTATTAAAGCTAGATGTACACGTGGAATCATTTTATTGGATAATGCAATTTTGTCAATGATAATCCCTGGGATATAAATATCTAGGCACGTATGGTTGTTAGGGGCGGTGGTAAGGGGCATGGGCCAGGCCCCCTAAAATATTTATGCACAATTATGTTAAAAAATTGTGTAATGCTACAGAACCGATCGGACTCTTACAGAATTTTTATTTCTTCTTTTTAAATTTAAAATTTAAAATTTAAAATTTTATTTTTGGTTGAATAACTTTAATTTTTAAATTATTAAATATTTAAATTTTTAAAGAGCATGTAAAAAATTAAGACGACTTAGTATTAAAATTATTAAAACATCTAATTACAAACATTATTTAAGTGAGACACAATTATTATTTAAATAAGATTTCATTTAAACAACAATTGTGATTAGACGTCTTTACAATTTTAATATTAAAAAGTTTTTTTTTTAATTTTTTTATTTTTAAATATTAAATATTAAATTTTAAAAACATAAATCTTAACACATTAAACATTAATGTTTAATAAGATCTAAACCTCAATATCATAAAATATATAATTTAAATAGCTCAATAGTCATTTTCTTTCGTTAAAAGTAAGAGATTTTAAATTAGATTCATATAACATGTGGGGGAAGTGGGATAAGAGATAAATAATAGTTGCTTTTTTCATTATGCAACTGAGATAAAAATATATATATAATTTAAAAAATCTAAATCAATTATTATAAAATAGAAAATCTAAAAAATTTAAATCCTATCACTTTAAATTCTAAATCCTAACACCGTAAACATTTTATCTAAAAAAATCTAAACCTTAACATCCTAATTATTGAACCTTAAAAATTTTAATTCTTAACATGTTAAACCTTGAATCTTGAACCCTAAAATATAATCTAATCCCTAACATTACAATCACTAAACCTTAAAAAAATCTAAATCCTAATGCCCTAAATTTAAATAATCTCGTTTGATTTTAAGGACTTAAATGATGTCTTTTAAATATAGAGACTTAAAAGATATAATCCCTTAAACTTGAGTGCTTTTGAATTCCCTTTCTTAAAACTAAGAATTAAACGGACGTGGCATTGCCACGTTGGCTTAGCCTCCTGTCGGCAGGAGGGGGTTCGACCGCAGTAGCATTATTTGAAAAAAGAAATAGTACCGCTACATGGACCTATAGATTTTTTTTTCTAAATTTAAAATTTAAAATTTTACTTTTTTGCCTACTAACTTTAATTTTTAAATTGTTAAACTTTTAAATTTTTAAATATTAAATTTTAAATCTTAAAAACATAAATTTTAACACATTAAAGACTGAATTAAAAAAAAAAAAAGATTTAAACCCCAATATCATAAAATATATAACTTAAAAAATCTAAATCAATTATCACAAAATAGAAAACCTAAAAAATTTAAATCCTATGACTTGAAATACTAAATCCTAACACCTAAACATTTTATCTAAAAAAATCTAAATCCTAACATCCTTAATTATTTGTAATATCTAAATTTTTTTTGAAATTTTAGAATTTAATTTAGGGACTTATATGAGAGAAATTATTATTTTTGAGTTTAATAGCTAAAATTCACAAATCTAAAAGGGGGTTAGAAGTGAAATTTGGTGATAAAAGATGCTAAGGCTGATTTTTCTTTTTCTCCTTACCCATTTTTGCGTGTTTCCCAGCTCCTCAATAGAAACTCTGCAACCACAAACCCCAACTTGCCCCATCACATCCTCATTGGAAGAAATAAGTAAGACTTAGTTTTTTTTTCCTTCTCTTAGCAAAGTTTAGAGACCAATGAGCTTACAGTTCCAAGATGATGATAAAAAATCCAAATCTACTTATACCCTCCAATCTCTTGGTTTGTGTTGGGCTTGCTGTCCATAGTGATATATCACCATTTTACAGCACTTTTCGATAAGAAATCAACCATATTGCTCATCTTTCATTTTTTATTTGAATTGGGTTAACTCTAATCTTTTAGGGTTCTCAAGTTTGGGAATTTTTTGTAGTTTCCCCTTAATTTTGTCCATAATTTGGCACCACTAGAATTTGGTTTCCTTTTCGTTGGAAATTTTGACAACATGATCTTGCAGTAGTGCTTTACTTATAACTCTTTCTATAGCTATTAAATTAGGTCCATTATTGATTCTATGAAAAGTTAAGAGATAGCCCTACAATTTTTATGTTGGATGTTTAACCCAATTAAGTTGTTGTCAAGGTGAAATATCTGCTTCAAGTTCAATTTCTATAGGCGGACGAAACTAGTAGTTTGACCTTATGTCAGTATTTTGACCATAACTTTCTTTGTAGTTATTGGATTAAGGTGATTCTTGATCATATAGAATGCTAAGACATAGGACTACAATTTATTTGTTAACCATTGAACCCAAATTAATCTATTTCTGGGCATGAATTCTGTTGAAACTTATGGTTCAAAATCTGACCAAAACTTTCCTAGAAATTTGTTCTGTTTTTTGCTCAATTCCCACGTTATTTGCTGCCAAATTGCATCATAATTTTACTAGACTTTTAGTTGCTGTTTCTCTACTCTAAAACTCCTTGTTATTGCTTTATTTTATGTCATGCCCCAAAACTAGGAGCAAAATAAACGCCGTACACTTATGAGAGGATCCCACAAATGCACAATGCTCGAAATCTATTTAATTCATATCTAGCAATCCACTAACTAAGATCCAAATCTCGAAATAAAATCTGGCTTTTATAATCCAAGCTTTTACTAGGCCAAGAGTGCACAAAAATTAATACAACTCTATGTCCAAAAATAATTTGACCAATGGCCTAACTCTAAAATAATCTAAATCCAAAATACAAGTGGCTAGCCTTCTAGCTCGTCACTCCCCTTGGTTTCCCACATCTTGAGTCATGCTACTTGAAATGGTGGATGGGGAAAAAAACTATGTGAGATAACTCAGTAAATAAAAATATGAGTAGCTCTTACTTAAAGTTAAAGTATGTCAAATAAACAATTTAAGACATAAACAGAAGGAAAAATATCTCGATTATAAACCATCAATGCATAATAAAACTTAATAATGGTCTTCTTAATTAGTCATGGCTAGTGTTTAACAAACTTCCACTAACATGTGTCAATAATAACCAATGTACTATCCCACTGGCAGGGATACAAAATGAACTAATCTTAGAGATATACATGTTGATATGTGTTAATGTTTACAAACTCCCATTGGTGGGTATCAGTAATCATGATCATATTGTAGACAAAACCATGTAAAAGTTCAACAAGAAAATCCATAATTTACAAATATGTAGAAGTTAATAGGAAAGTCATAACTTACAAACCATTTTTTTCAAATTTCCAAAACAAACAAGTAAACTCCATGTAGGCATGCTTAACTCTAGAAAACTAATAACAACTTCATGTCAAACCGGTCATGCTTATGTGCTAATAAAAATCAATTTAGGTCTTGCCACGACCTCAAAAAATAGTTCAAAATATGTTTTTAAAACCTTTACCTTAAAATTCAAGGGCATTTATCACAATTTTACTTACCTTGCCTTGTAAGTAAACAACAAGCAAGAATTCAAGAACTCAAGGCTATTGAGGTGATTTAGAACCTATACCACATCAAATGAATACTTAGAATATGCTTAAAATAGCTCCAAATGTCACATTAAATAATAGGTATTCCAAACAGATTTTCTAGGCATAATAAGATGGAAAAATGTGGAAAACCGAGCTCAAAACCATCATAGACACCAGCATAAATATTGGGCAGCAAAAGTGGGGGTTTCTGCCAATTAAATCAGTCTCAAAATGTTTAGAAAAACCTTGAATAGCAAGGAATTTTGGGTAGAAAAGCACCAGCAAAACATGGTAGATTACAAGCCAAAACTGGACAGAAATGGACAACAACAAAAAAAAAAGGGTAGCAAAATAAAGCAATAACAAGGGGTTTTAGAGCAAAAAAATAGTAGCTAAAAGTCTACTAAAACCATGACGCGATCTGGCATCAAATAATGTGGAAATTGAGTAGAAAACAGAACAAATTTTTGGGAAAGTTTTGGTCAAATTTTGAATTAGAAGTTTCAACAAAATTTGCACCCAGAAATTGATTAATTTCTGATGAGAACCCCAAAGAGAACAATGAGACCCACA